CTAAATCTATAAATAAATGCATGAAAAATGTTCAGTGTTTCTGGTCTTTCAAGAAATGCAAATTAAAAGAACGCCAAGATTCCATTTCACTCCAGAAAAATGAAATCAGCCAGTGAGAACTGCTGGTGAGGCTATGGTGAGAAAAGTACCCTCTCTATTGTTGGTTTGACTGTAAGCTAATACAGAGTCTGTGGAAATCAGCATGGAATTTCCCAAAGAATTGAAAGTGGAAATTCTATTTGACTCAGCTATTCTCTTTCTAGGTATCTTCCTGAAAGAGTTAAAAATATCATACTAGTGCTATATGCACATATATGTCTATAGAAGCAAAATTCATTACAGGAAAAATCTTGGAAACAGCTTAGATGTCCACCAACAGATCAGGAGATAAAAAAATTTGTTATATATACAGTGGAGTACTACTCTGCCATAAACAAGATAAAAGTCATCTCTAGGTAAATGGACTCACCTTGAAACCATAATATTAGAGGAAGTAGCTCAATACACGAGATTAAATATGCATGAGTCTTCTTGTGTGAAAAACTAATATACATGTATTTATTTTGAAATAAAAGGTAGATAGTAGGAAAAATGAAAAAAGATATTGTAATCCTGCATGGACAGCATGTCTAAAAGTGTACATTATTAATAATTGTCTTCATGCATTTTATATGTTCTTTGGCTTATTAGTCTGGTTTTTCAATCTGTATGTATAAGAATTAGCTTTATAAAATCTTATAGAATAATAAATGAATGGGACACTTAGAAAAAAAAGGGGTGGAGGCAGAGTAGGGAAAAGGGAATCAAATATGTTGTGTACAAGTACCAATTTCAAAACTACAGTAAACGTAATCACTGTGTACCCTAAAATGTACTATTGATATTAAAAAGAAAACCCTACACCTTTTACAAAGTTCATCCTGGTTAAAATGTTATGAAACAATTGGCATTTTGACAATATAATTACAATTAAACTATAAGAAGACATTCTACTTTTAATACACTCAGTAACTTTAAGCACAAAATACCAAAAATCATCCTCTAAAGATACGTGTGCTTTCTTATTGCTACGTGGCATTCATTAGGCTGTTTAATACTCAGGTATCATACGAAGAATGTTGCCATTCAGGCCAGTCTTAGATGGTAAATGTCTCAAAAATCTAGCAGTTGAAAGTGCCTGTTATTCAGTCTCTTTCAAATAATATTCCTACTTTTGGGAGAAATTGTTCTTTGGCAACTTAAAATACGTTTTTCCCCTTCAAAGCCTCCCAGATGGTGAACTTGAGCTGAATGGATGTTGTTAGCATCTACAATCAGGAAAAAATATGTTTCTCTGAAGGATAGTGAAAAGTCTTTAGAAAACTGGGTTAGAGTGGATTTGAACAGATCTCTATTCTTATACTGCAAAAAGCCTTTAATTTGTTATCATATCTTCAAGTGGGATCAGTTTGTAGCAAATTCAGTTTGGCAGCGGGGTTACATGTCCCAGTTGTAAAGCACCAAACAGAAGACAGCTTTACCTCTGCACACAGCAATCATTTCCATTTGTTAGGATGTGTTCGCATCAATTAATTCCCTCACACAGAGGACAGGAAATTAAAGCCATTGTCTGGTTTAGGCTAAAGAAAAGAATGCCCCTCATTTTTTCATTTACTGATATGTATTCATTTAGGCATATTTATGATATAGCAAATAATGCAATCATATTTTTTCAGGGCATAAAGCAAATTTGTTGTAAATTCTTTGACAGCTGAGGATTTGATTTGGCATGTGACTTGATACTGATACCAGTTTACATGTAGAGTTTACTCTGATGATCTCATCTGTACCTAGTGTATCCACTCTCATTTCTTCTTTTGCCTTTCAAATCCTAATGAAAATGGAACTGTCTGGCTCCTACCCAGCTTGAGTGCATTTTATTATTGACACTGCTCCTCTGTTATAAATTTTCCTCTCCTTTACTTAGCTAACCCCACCAAACTAAAATCAAGGCCTTTTTCTCCATGAGGCCATTCCCAACCAGCTGATTTGGACTAAACTGGCTTCTTGAGCCACCTCATAGCTCTCTCCACAGCCTTTCTGTCATGGGGGGCATGTTAATGTGTCTAATAAGCTGTAAAATACTTGAGAACAGGACTGCACTGTTTCAATTCCTAGTGCAGAATATTGTCCTAATGCTTTCTGCAATTAGAAAGTATAAATACTCATGGAGTGCATCAATGAATATAATAGCTTTCCTGCCTTCTAGGATTTGCAGTTTACTGCATAGACATACAAAAGCATGTGTGATTTTAAAATAATATGACAGCGTGAAACAAAGTGGCGTTCTTTAGATTTGGGATCAGAGATATCTTTGGTGAAAAGAAATCAAATTTCAGGCCTGAAGCATGAGTAGGAGTCACTAAGGCAAAGCTTGCGCATGGAAGAAGCATTTGAAGCAGAAGAAAGCCCTGATTGAAGTTCTTGGGCATAAAGCTCACAATGTTTAAACACCCATAGTGCTTTACTGAACCATAATTTACATATAATAAGATGTCCCCATCCTTAAAATGCAGTATGACATTTTGATATTTGTTTAAATTTATGCAATTGTCACTCAGCTCAAGACAGAACACTCTAAATTTTCCTTATTCTCCACTCCAGAAAATTTTCCTCCAGAGGAAACTGATCTTCTGACATCTATCACTCAGCGTGATTTGTAAACAATTGAAAGACCACTGATTTAACAATTGTGGAGAGCAAGGCTGATAGCATCATAGGCTGAATTAGATATAAATTAATATACTATCAGAGAGGGATTAGGCCTTCAAGCCAACACAAAAAATAAAGTCATCAAGCTTGTGACTGGAGGCGTAGATGAAGACGGAATGGCCAGGTCTGCATGCCTCTTGGGGGATAAACAGCAACTTGAGATTATGCTGTAATTACTACTAGCTGGCCTAGTGATTCCAAACAGATGCCCAGGTGGATGACCAGAGCAACAAAGTCACCCACTCCCCAAAATGACCTTTCTTCTTTCCATGTGTTCTTGCTATGTGACATATTTCCCTATAGGAGCAATATTCACTAAGCAGCAACCCTTCTAATTCTACAGGTTTATGGAATTTGGCCCACATTTGACCCACACTGTGACTTTGCTGTATAAATTACCCCTGACAAAGGGCCTTGGTGACTTCCATTCTGAACTCCTCTTGGAAAACCAAGAACTCTTCTTCCTCTCTTTATTTCCAATATCCTAACTTCGACCTTTGGTTATTGACTTCATTCCTTCATGTAATGGGATCACAAATGGCATATTTGGCATCTCGTTGGTCAGACATGATATTTTTCCTGTATTAATGGAAAAGAGAGATGAAAATATAGATAGCCAGGCCACAGTTCTGGTTGAAGATATGGGACTTTGGCATTTGTAAAACAAAAATTGTTTTAGTTCTCAGTAAGAAGGTGAGTTGACTGGATTAATGCTTTAACAACTAAGTTAATTGAAGAAGATAAAAAGTAGAAATACATAGACCAAGGAATTTTATGTCAGTAGAGAAAAAGTTGATAAATTTAAAATGCATTTTGAAGTTCAGATATATTTAATCAACATTTAAAAATTAACATTATTTTATGAGGACATTATTTAAAAATTATGATTGCATTTAAACAGTGAATGTTAGTGAAAGCTATAGAGATATTCCTCCAAATCACATTTTGTTTTCTGTATTTAGGTTAGGGTCTACCGGGTCTACAGGGTCTCACTACATAGATTGGACTTGTAATGATTCTCCTGTTTTCAGCTTCCCAAACTCTGGGATTACAGGTGTGCACACCACGCCCAGTCTCATTTGCCATCTCAGCATGTCTCAGGGGTGGGGCCAGCACAGCATGCAGGGATCGAACCCCCTTCCCTGAGTCTGCCTAAGCAGGCACTTTCAATCCACTGAGCTATCTGGCCAGCCCTGTCATATTTCTTTTATAAGGACATCGGTCATATTGGATTGGTGCTCACTTTGCTCCTGTATGAGGTTCTGTTCTTCTAACTAAATCTATAACAACTCATTTCCAAATAGAGTCTTAAGGAGGAGACTAGGATTTCCTCATCTCTTTTTGGAAGAGAACATAAATCAGACCCTAACAATTACCAACACTGATAAAGGAAAATCTCTGCCACTGGGGTGCTGCCTCACAGCCAAACTGTGCATGATCTGTCCATTTTCTTTATCTGTAGCAGATAATGAACATATAGAAAGTTTCTTTGCCTGTATATGTATTTGTGTGATCACTTCTATAGATGTAGGAGTGCCTTTGTCACTGATAAATCACAGTCATGGAAAACTATGCAAACTATGTTGTATATTTACATGCCTGGTTTACTCTTTGCTTGAAGCATGCATAGTTATTTGCAAAATGTTCTTCCTGAGTAAACTATTAGTATTAGTTTATAATATGAGCACACTATTTTTCATTCCCTTCCTCTAATGTGATTTAATATATGTTATATAAACCGAAATTTTTCTGGATGACTTTTGTGCCCACATCTTTGGTGAGTTAGCATATACAAAAGTGCTTAGCAATTTGATTTAGGGTGAATTTTTAAAACTGCTTCTTCCTTACAGTTTTGAAAATGTATCATATGCACAGAGTTTTACTCTAGACAGATCTGCATAATTCAGTTCCTCTATCCCTGAGTTTCCTCAGCAACATGATTTTTTCCACTCAATTCTACCATTCAACAGAACTTGTCTGACATTTAATGCATAATCACTGAACAGCAGACATAAACAGGTGAACTATAATCTCTACATTCAAAGAAATTTCTCTAAATAATTAGGTCCAAGATTGTTTTTCCTGGTTACTTTTCTAAGTAATTTGCATATATGCTTATCATGTATTTAAGTCTAGAAAATGTTAAGCTAAAGAGATTATGAATGTATGAGAAGATGTAAAAGTTATTCAGATACTTTCTGCTGTATTTTTGGTGACATACATGTGCTTTGTTATATATTTTGTTTTAGCCGAGAGAGACATCAATGTCTACTGTGGGGTGCAGACCATTACTATGAAGATTAATTTTTGCACCGTACTTTTCTCCGGTTATTCTGAAACTGATCTGGCGTTGAATGGAAGACATGGGGATTCCCACTGCAGGGGGTTCATCAATAACAACACCTTCCCCGCAGTGGTCATTTTCATCATCAATCTGAGCACCTTGGAGGGCTGTGGAAACAACTTAGTGGTAAGATGAAGTGAATTGTGTTTTCATCTGGAATCATAAATAAGAAAGTTCCCCATTTCATAAAATGAAGCCCAATCTATCTTTCAAGGAAAAAAAAATCCAATAAAGCTGAGCAAATCACTGTCTTTTGATGGTTTCAGCCTTGCACTCCCAAAAGCTGAATCGAGTCTTCCAGTAATGGTCCTGCTTGTCGTATCTGAGGGTGTAGGGTCAGCTGTGCTCCTCTGAGCAATGTCCTCCCTGTGACACGGACAGCACTGCTCTGCAGTTTGTCATCAGCCGTATTTGCTGGGCTTTTTGCAGAACTATCTGATCTTAGAAATAATGTTTGTTCTGATGAGTTTGGCTGTGAACCGCTGGCCGATTTTTCTTTGGTGACCTCACTCAGAAATAAAGTTTAAAGATGACACGGAAAACGTGGAACTACTTTCATGTTTACTACCGAAAGATCCATGTCAGTGTTTTGTTAAAAAAAAAAAAAAGTGTTGTCGGTGTGTCTGATGTGAAGTTCTTCACGATGTAGGACTGTCTTTTGCATTCTAAAGTGTTTATCACAGTCATTCTTACCCATAAAATCCTAGTAGTATATTTCCTCCAGTTGCATTGAATATCAAAACAGTTCTATAAACATTTCAACCCAGAATGATAGCTATGAGTGACCATTCACCTATTTATTAATTCACTGAACCCAAAATAGAACTGAATAAGAAATAGATTCTTCAGTAATTGAAAGTGACTTCACATACATATTTTGCAGGGGAATTATTTGGACTGAAATTCACTTAGTACTACATTTTATTTTGCTTTTCCTCATACAATCTTATTAGAAAATCCTAGCAAAAACAAAGACATTAACATACATGACTGGTTAGCACAGGGAAAAGAAATTGGCTTCTGAATTTAATAAATTATTCTTTAGGACTGAAAGGAAAGGCTTGATGATTCTAAGGGCATAGTTTCTAAGATTTGGTGGGAGGTAGAAGATAGAGAAAGAGATTTACTTGAGAGGGCAAGTAGAATATTATGCCCATAACCATTTTCATGCCTGAAAGTTGGATATTGTTGACTGTTTTTATTAAAAATGTTTATTTATCTCTGTGAGTTGTGTGTAAAGAGGTTATGAAGCGGGCCTAAGGGAGAGGGAGGCAGGTAGATTATTGCCTGTCTTGTTTCCTTGAGTAAGGAGGGAGTCTGTGGATTGAGGGCATTTTTCTCTTCCCACAGTGCCTCAAAGCTTTTTATTGATGGATTTAAGTAACCTTGCTTTGTTGCTGAGAAAACCATTCTCAAAAAGCCAAGAAAAGGTCTCTCTCTCTCTCTCTCTCTCTCTCTCTCTCCCTTTTATATTTTTATGAAGCTAAAATACTCTAATATAAAAAACTACACATGCATATGTGTGAGTGCATTTGTGTGCATGCATGTGTGTGTCTGATCACAGACAGGATTGGTATATTAGCTAGCAAATCAGGCACAGGGAGAGGATGAAAACATTTCCTATTTTTCATTAAGTCCACTTTCATCTAATTTCATTAGATGTCACCAACTTTGTGTCTTCTTCAATGACATTCCTGCAAAAGAAAAATAGACTACTAGATCACTGGGTTAGAATAAAAGTGTTTTCATTCATAAGGATCTTGCTCCATTTGTGCATTAGACAAAAGATTGCCTCAGTTTTGACCACATGTTGGTAGGTTGATGGATCAAGTTTGCTCGAAGGTTGAAACTTAACTATTAAAGGGATCAGTAATATCAGCTGAAAGTATTTACTGAATATCATAATATATCTTACTATATTTAGTATGGTGAGCAAAACAAACTATGTCCTTTCTTTGTTTCATGAAGATCAGGGCCATTATTTTTATTCCTTATGCGGTAGTTCATCAATTTTAGAAGGATCAAAGACTCCAATGAAAGCTAAGGAAATGCACATAGGCATCATTTCACCCCAACTTTTGGGAGTTGGTGATTCTCCTGAAACTCACCTATGAGCTATTACCCTGGAAATGAATAAGAGTTGGCATGAACCACATGAGAAGATCTTGAGAAGACTAATCCTCAGAAAAGTTGGGACTCAGTGACTATTCAAAAGTTACGTGTGAAGTCATGATGTTGGTGCTGTATTGAAGACATAAAAGTGAACTCGGTCAAGATAGGCTTTGCCCATAGAGAACTCGATGATGCCTGAGAGAACTGGTGAGGAGGCAGGCTGCTCCTACATTCTACTTCCTGCTTTGACATATCACATCACTGCATGGCGGAGGTCTTGGAGGAAGTTATCCAGGGAAGATGCGATTCCAGGAAAAATTCAGAGGTACCATGTAAAGTAAAGGGGAGAGAGGTAGCTGATGTAGGATGCAAAGAGGCCATCGCAAATAGGGCCTCGGGACATGAGTATTATTATCAAAGGTAGCAACCTGGAGATAGGAAGCAATGTGAAACAGGATTAGATCGACAGGAATATGGTTTATACATGCCAAGGAATCTTGACATTACCAATAGGTATTTTTCATTTACTGGTTGTAGATCTCTGAAGATATAATCATTTTTCTATTTGTGAAATGAGAATTTTTTAAAATATTAAGATTCACTTGAAGACATAATTACTTATGAAAAACATTAACTGCCATGTTATGATTGAATGAGAATAAAAAAAATAGGTGTGGTATAATGTTATATTTTCCTATACAGTTCCTAGATTTGTATATAGCTATTTAATCATTGAACTTGATCTTCTATTCTAACAGGTATCTACAATTCCTGGAGTAAGTTCTCATGGAAATACCACTTCAGCACAGATAGGAAATATTTCAGGATACATTGATACTCCTGACCCACCAACAATCATCAGTTATCTACCTGGGCTTCTTTACAAATTTAGCTGTAGTTACCCATTGGAATACCTGGTAAACAACACCCAGCTTGCTTCGTAAGTGCATGTTTTATTTTTGCTTTCTCATATTGTCCTTATGTTTCAGTCTTAGTTTTTAAGGGATTTATAATAATAGCAAGCTTTGTTGATAATAGCTGAACTCAAACAATGCAATAGGAAATGTAAAGTCACGTTACCCACTTCATGTATGTATGTATGTATGTATGTATGATCTATCTGTAACTCTACCTGCTGATCTTGTCTCTTCTTTCTTGCCTTATGATCTCACACTGGATTTTGCTTTTGGATATGATTGCCTCATTCTCTTGGAAAGGTAACCCAGGACATGTTGTTCACTTATGTTTTCACTTATGATTTCCAAAGTTCATATGTACAAGACATGGCTATATCCACATCATAGTATAATAGCTTGGATTAGTCAGATATTTTTTCACAAAATGGGGTGACTGTGTGGAAATTTTTCCTCTGCAACATTATTTTTTGCTATTATGTAGTGCTAGTTATTTAATCTTAGTTTCAAGGTAACCTGGAAGATCTGTTCTGTTTTTGTCTTAAAAAATACTCATAGCTGATTTTAACAGCAATGATAAATAATTTAAAAGCAAAAATGATGTGAAAAATGAGAAAAGAAAATCCTTTGTCAAAACGATAGAGATATAGAAGGAAGCATTTTTTACTTTGCCATTTGCCCCCCACATGAAACACATTCCTCATATCTAATATCCACAGAATATTCATTTACTCAATCAATATTGATTACACATCTACCACTTCTGTGATGTTCTAGAAGTTAATGAAGGAAAACAAAATCCCTGATCTCTTAAAATTTCCAAAGGAAGTGATTGAGGCTTATTCCATTCTGTTAAAGTTCTAATGAAATGAAGTTTTTGCAGAATGTCTCTCAGGTTTATTGCAAAATTTAAAGAAGATGTCTTTACATATGAAAAATACCCATCTTAATTTTTTTATTATTTATCTATTTGGTGATTTTAAGCAGAATACTCAACTATGGGTCTATTTAAAAGTATCCCAGGCTCAAGAGTTTCACTGACTGAAATTTAATAGTCAGGTGTAGCTACAAATTTAAACTTTAAATCTCATCAGTACTTTCTGTCTTTCCAATCTGTTTTAGGTCCTCAGCTGCTATTTCTGTGAGAGAGAACAATGGAACATTTGTCAGCACTTTAAACCTGCTCCTGTACAATGTGAGTGGATGAGTGAAAGATGTTATTTTCCCTTTGATTGTTGTGAGGAGCCATTTGTGGGAATGACTTCCATATAAAAATCTATTGAAAGTCACATTAACCCTGTTATACTTGGGGAGCATTTATCCATCTTTCCTACTCCTTTCATGTATCTTAGTCAAGAAGGTTACTACAAACACCATTAAATTTTCTAAAAGTTGATGAATGACTTGAATTTTATACCTGAAATGTGATTCAGTAATAGTAGTTACTCCAAGTGTCTTTTACATTTACTTGTGTGTGTGTGTGTGTGTGTGTGTGTGTGTGTGTGTGTGTGCAGCTCTGGATGAGGTCAAGATTTTGGAAATATTTTTGTGACATAAAGGCATGTAAAGCCCAAATGATACTTCACTTGGTGGCTTCCTTCCTTGGTGATGAATGTGTTAATATTTTCCACATGAGTTTGGCTAATGACAATTTTGTCACATCTGAAATAATTTGGACAGAGCATTGTCTAAACTTTTATCATGTAAATATCGATAGTGGCAACAAAATGTGAAAAATACACGGATTTCTATTTATACCTGTAACATTAATCCCCCAATGATATTTTCATGTTGATTAAAAATTTTATTCATACATTTTAAATGCCTGATTTAAATATCAATTTTTCAATCTATCAACCAACATTTTTGTAAATTATGAATCTGATTTTTGCATTATTATTCATGTCATCATGGCATTGAGTTATAATTCATGCAACTGATTTAAAAGTCAGTGCTTTACACTTTGAATATAATGAGCTATAAATATTGTAGTAGAACATTTTCCAAAGGCATTTAAATACCATGTTTACAAGTTTGTAGTCTGATGCCACAGAGCGCTATGCAACAAATTAAAATCTGTTGGAATGAGGATTGCCTTTCTGTCCTTCCTAAACTTTCTTCTGTGAAGAGAAGGTGCTGGGTTACTTGGTTGTATGATAATCAGCAAATACGTGTGACTATTTGTTCTCCATTGGCCAGATATTTCACTATTGTTGTTAGAGGTATTTACATAAATAACTTTAAATTGGAAAGAATCTATCTGTTGATTTATATGTGAAACTGTCTGAAGAGAATTGAGGTGAATCATTTAGAGTCAATATTATTTATTGAAGTTGACACAAAGATAAGAATTCTATCTTAAAAAGGTAAAAAGTATGTTGACATAAGATTAAATGATATTTATTTTCTGTGAAATTAAACCATTCTCACTGGAAAAGCAGAGAATCAAAATGTAGACTTGTAGCACTGAGGATGATTAAGACCTTCATTTGCCATTAGAAATGGTATTGTGGCCCTGTTATTAAAAATTAGCATGCCTTCAAGGAGTTTATGGAAACTTGATGCTAAATAAAAGCTTATAGTTTAATACGGAATTTAATATTTTGATTATATTGTTAGAAGTAGGTAAGTTTTTGGTATCAGACCATAAATGACACAGAGTGTCAGAATTCTTCACATTTTAATAAGTTTGCAATAAATGTATTATTGATGGCTGAATTAAATAACTAAATCAAACATTAAAAGTCTCTTACGAACAAGCCATTTAGCAAAATTCAATAATTTGCTACAAAGTAGTTTTTAAATTTTTAAAAAGTTAGCAGATTTAATTTTCAGAGCAATTTTAGCTTTATGGAAAATTGATCAAAAAGTGCAGTGTTCTCATCTAACATCCTAGCCCTGCACATTATTTCATGTATTATTTGTCTGGATTTATGTGAAACATTTGTTACAGTTGATGAACAAGTATTGATACATTATTGCTAACTATGGAGCATAGTTTAGACTTAAATTCATTCTTCTTGTTGTATATCATATAAACTTGAACAATCCTAATAAATTACATCCATCATTGGTGTGCAAAACAGAAGTTTGAGTGCTCCTAATTAGTTTTTATTTTTATTTTTTTTGGGTGGAACTGGGGATTGAACTCAAGCCCTTGAGCTTGCCAGGCAAGTGCTTATTTTACTGAGCCATCTCCCTGGCCCCCTGAACTAGTTTTTAAATATGGTATTATCATAATATTTTCAAGACATTAAAAGCTTACTACAGTTTCTCAAAATTTCACAAATCTTTTGCAAACATATTTATTATTTCTTTGTACACCAACATTTAGCTATGCAAATTTAATTTTATTGTGGTATTTAAAATAAATACCATTTTACACTATCAGAGGCTATATTTTTTTCCTTTGCATGCAGTTTTTGATTTCATTAACCCAGAGGAGTAAAATAAAGTTATATTCCATTACTACTACTAAAGAATTATTTTCTGCTTTGTTATTTGGGGAGCAATGTTGCTTCCAGTTTAAATGTAGCTCTATATTGGCTACACTGCTATTATAGAATTGATCTAACTTAAGGGCAGTATTTTATTTTATTTCTATTTATATACAGATATAATAAATGCACTCAGAAAATTATATTGATAAATACAATAATTTTAATTGTCAATGAAGTTTTCATATGTGGTGGCTATTTCGAGTTGAATTATGCCTTAATTTCTGTGTAAAGCAAAAATAACTTTTTTTGAGAAAATGGAAAGTGAAAATGCCTTTGTGTATTTGAATTGTAGGTAAATGTGCTCAGTGTATTCTGAGCAGGTACAGAAACAGAAGATCTGCAACGTGATGATGACAATTATAAATTTTTGTCTTAAGAATGAATTTTAGGAACAAACAGAGGTTATGAGCAGAATATATATATATATATATTGGGGGAAAAAAGCTCCTGTAAGAGAGGGACAGGAGAGGGGGCCTGAGCTGTTGTCCCCTATAAATAAAATAAAATTAATTTTAGGAACTATATAGCATTGACAAAAGTAAAGTCAACTATGCAAAAAAAAAAAAAAAAATTCAGAAAATTAGCTCTTAGGGCCGGCGAGATAGCTCAGCTGACTAAGTGCCTATTTAGGCTAGTGCAGAAACAGGGGTTCAATCCCCAGCACCACATGCCGTTCTGGCTCTGCCCTCGGGGGCTTGTTGAGATGGTCCTTGAGATCGCGCGTGGTGATGTAAGCCTGTAATCCTAGTGCTGGGGAAGCTGAAAACAGGAGGAGCACTAGGAGTCTGAGATGCAGAGTGAGACCCTGTACCAAATACATTAAAAAAAGAAAAAAAAAAAAAAAGAAAAAGAAAATTAGCTCTTAGAACCAGTCTCAGGAGGAAAATGTTGATGATTAATGTTGAAACCACAATGGTCATATATGATTTTCAAATAAATTAGCAATACACTGCTTATAAGGAAGGCAGACATTCTTTTGAGTAATTTCAACATGAACATATGAAAAGGTGACTCGTTAGTGTAGTTTACTTGGAGACACTGGGAAAGGAGGCAAGAAGACTATTAAATAAAATACCACCTTCAGATATGATTGGAAAAGCTATTATAATTTATAACAGAATTACAGAAAATGAGAAACACAAAATAATAGTTTCTAAATACATCATGTAATCCATTGTTTACTTGGTTTTATCTAGAGTGGAATACTCAATATGAATATAAATGTTCTCAGAAGTATCCAAACTATTGTTGCTTTAATTTTTAAAATTCAAAATATGTTGATTTCTTTCCAGTATTATAAGTACTTTATCTGTCTTTAGGATCGTAAAACTTCTTAATAAACATTAAAAATGCTCTTTTGTTACAAAACTGTAATGTCTTTAGATTTACAAGATTTGGGTAGTACGGAGACAACTTTCTGCAGGGCAGATAAATTGTTTACTTAAATTTTGAGCATTTTCTTTTTTACATTCTATATTATTTTCTGTCGTTTTCTTTATTTTCAGAACATAGCTGTTCCTGTTTAATGTCTAATTTGATGCTTTAAAGTACGGTACATTGGGAAATGCTATATATTGGCTACACTGCTATTATAGAATTGATCTAATTTAAAAGCAAAGAAACTAAAATAAAGCCACCATTCTATAAGTGAACATCAAGTAATTTGGTATCAGACTCTGTGGTGTGTGTTTCACAATTCAGAGATTGTGTTGAACTTTTTTCTCCCTTAGATTTTAATTATATTTTAGTAATTTCAAAATGTAAGATAAGTGATTTGGGGTGAACGGAAAATCACCAAAAGTGTAAAGCCTAATACTCCAATAGTAAAGAGTAAATTGAAACAGATTTCATTTAAACAAACTGAATATTAGAACAAAGATAATTTAATAAATGAAATGCTAATTTAAATAAACTGAAAATTGGCTATTGAATATTAAGCAAACTGATTCTTAACCAGTAACAATTGAATATAACTTAAATCATGACTATTAATGACTATGGAAAGAAAAATATTTATCATCACAAATCAGTTTGCTATATACATACGATTTAAAAGAAGTTCTGCCAAAACCCAGAGGATTAAGTAAAATCCTTTGGTAGTTGGTTGTGTATATTTATACTGATACCTATTGTTTTTTAACACTGTTGGTGTTGGTGATGAATGTGTTTTGTTGGGAGGTAATCATAGATTGTTTATTATTTCCTCACTAGGATTCAACCTACAGTCAACAATTAATTATCCCAAGCATAGGATTACCTTTGAAAACCAAAGTGTTTGCAGCTGTACAAGCTACTAATCTGGATGGCAGGTATTTTCAAACTCTTATATTTTGCTGGTTCAAATATTTAAAGAGTCATAATGTTAGCTCACTCATTTTTAATTTCATTTGAAAAATACTGTCATTATTGCACCATTTAGGCACACTAATAGGTAGAAACAAAAATTTACAAAGTTTAAGGGCTAACATTTTATGTCATTAATTGAAAGATAACACATTTTTCCATATAAAAAGAGAGGTAGTAACTGGAGGAAGCCATGGGGAGATTTTTGAGGAATAACCAGAAAGCTCTATTTCTTCATCAGAAAGATGACTACCCAGATATGTTAGTCATTTCTGAACACTTCCAATTTGTCTACTTTTCTGTATGTATATTATTATTTAGTACAAAAAAAGCAAAGAATTGTCTCCATCAGGATATGAATCAAAATTATATTTATAAGTATTCAGAAACATTTGTGCAAAGAACAAAATCACTTCAGCCTTCTATTATACTCCAGAAATTTAGAGTGATCAAAACAGAAGCAAAACGAGAACTTCTATTCTGTTCTGTTTACCTGCTCGGTTTCTTTCCAGTCACTGATATATGTGACTCTTTAAAAATGCCTTAATAAATTCAGGAGATTTTGGTATTAATTTTCCATGTATTTGTGCTTTCTTATGGCAACTAGAGCTGAGGGAAACCATGTTTAAGTCTTGGCTCAGTTTGGCCTCATGCCTCATGGCTTTTTTTCCTCGCAAATGCCAGTTGCAGACTCCCATGCCCACTGATGCCAGCATGTCATTTGTGCACCTGCCTTGTGTTAGAGTCGGTAACTTCTAGAAAGAAAAGAACACTGGTTGGAGTGAGACATACAAGCATTTATATAACTTATTTTGCGGCATCTTTTTTCTTTAGACTTTGGCCAGTCACTTACTTTTTCCCCAATTTTGTATATGGGTAGCATTAGCCTTAACCCCACAGGTGGGCATAAGAATTAGTTGTAGATGTTTAAGCGTGTTCTTTCTTGAAGAAAATTTTAATTATCAAGAAGCCTGTACTAATGAGGAATAAAACCTACTTTCCATATAATAAGAAGTCTGTTGATATTCGACTCCTTTGGACTAATAACCTACATCTGAAAGGGGATTCTGAGTTTAGGTTCTGTGTGCCTCTCTGCAGATGGAATGTCTTAATGGATTATTGCTACACAACCCCATCAGGGAACCCAAACGATGATATTCGATATGATCTCTTCCTCAGGTAGGTGTCTATGCCTTGTATTGATACCAAAGACCCAGTTGTTTACAACTACAATGGCAACTCTAGATAAACAAATTATAGAACATTATTGTGGCTTTCAAATTGAAAGGTTTACACTTTGATTTTTAGTCCTTATGTAGCTAGAATTAATTTCAACACACAAAATGCTGATAAAGCTTTTGTTGAAGGAGAGCTGCACCTATGTTATGTCCACTAAGATGTTTCATGCAAGTTCAGAAAATGTGATGATATTTTACTGTTTTAGTACAGCATGGTAAGGACATTATTAGCAATAAGAGAAACATGGTAAGAAGGTATTATTTATCTGCAGCTAGCCCATCTCATCATATGTCAAAAGGATACTAAAATTAAAGTAATTTCCCGGATAATTTAGACTCCAAAATGCTTTTGATCATTTATCAATATTTAATATGAAAGTATAATATACCTACAGCTTCTTCTTAAAAAAATCAGAGCCAATAACTTCAACTTCATGCCCCAATAGACAATGATAAAGTGAACATAATCTACATTTGGGGAAAGAGAACATTGATCAGAAAACCATTTAATCATTCTAGCTCCTTTTCAGCATTTTTATCTGACAGTAGAAAAGAGAGTGGGGTGATGTCCTCTAATCATGCCTGTAAAATGCAGTCGGCTCAGATCACTGCAGCTTATTGACACATGATGAGAACAGTACAGGGCGAAGCCAAGAGAAAGTGTTTTATTAGCTAATCAAGTTTAAGATGAGGGTCAGAGGATGTGGTTAAAAGGGGTGCTCCTGGAAGTGTGGGGTGAACGTCAGTACATACCAAATTTTAAAAGGATTCATAGTGTTTGATTTTATCTTTTTAAATTGATATTTATATTTTACAATATTTATGATGTTCTGGTCTGTTGGTATTATTTGAAATAGTCAAATCAGGAAACAAATAATATACTGAGAAGTAAGAAGGTAGAGAATCATTATACTGAGAGTTCACACAAATACCACAATCATACAGTTACTTATTAAGTGGAAATAAGTTGGTTTGCTTTTTCTTTTTCTCTTTTTGTCTCAGTAGTCTTACAGTCTTAGAAATATTTAATTTTTAAATATTTAAGTATATTAATATATGAAGGGATATAATCAATATAAACAATTGTATATATAATGGGTCCCCATTTATATCATAGAAAAGACAGTGTAGAAAAATACCAAAATGTTCTCAGTTGACTATATATGGGAAAATTTTGTATCATTTTGTCTTACCATTTTTCATGTTTATGAAAATTTCTATGATGATAAAATATTATGAATCTGTAATGTGTAATTCAATCTTCAGACTGCTAGTATAAATACCAAGGCAGCGTATTTTTTTCATTTTTTAAATTTTTTTTAGGGAAGGGGCTACAGGGTGTTCAGGGTCTCACTACTAGATTGGACTTGTAGTGATCCGCCTGTTTACAGTTTCCCAAGAGCTGGGATTGCAGGTGCACTTTACCATGCCCAGCCTCAATTGCTGTCTCAGTGCGCACCGGGGGTTGGGGCTGGCATGGCAGGCCCAGGGATCAAACCCCCAGCCCCTGTGCCTGCTTGCAGGTGCTTTAATTTGCTGAGCTGTTTGGCCAGCCCTAGGACTAGCAATTTGTAACAATATCAGAAAAGAGAAAGTCTTTACCACTCTGAATTTTAAAAACGTCTGACATTCATATAAAAATTCAAAATGTAAACCAACATTTTGTGATCAATTAAGTAAAAAACAACCTTACTTTTACTTAATTTGAAAAAAAATAAGAGAATTATAAACTAATGTAATAAAGAAAAAGAAATATAACTGACAAATAAAAATATCAATGGCAATCAGAGGAAATGAGGTGAGTCTGACCTTCTCTAGATGTCATATCTGATGGGCTGTACAACCACAGATCAGTGGGAAAAGCAGGTTCTTAATTACATTGCTGGATAACTTATAAGAGATAAAACAGCATGGGCTGCATATGTCACTCAATACAACATAATAAGCATATGTATATATACATATATATTATATTAATTTCTATCTATGTCAAATGGTTTGAAAAATAATTTATCACTTCATCTAGTAAAGATCTATTGAAAACCTACCTTTTATTTCTTTATACATTTAACATTTATTTTGTGAACATAGTTATTCAGTTTGTCATTTGTCTTTTTTCTAAAAGTAACTTCAGTTCAATAAAATTCAGTTTTTAAATATAAAAAAAAAGAGAAAACCTATCTTTTGGCAAGCATATGTAGGGACATAGAGATTAAATAGTCATGAATTCTGAATTGTTAACTTATATTTTATTTAATTAATTAATTTATTTATATTTTTTTTTGGCAGAACCAGGGACTGAACTCAGGCCCTTGCACTTGCCAGGCGAGTGCTTATTCTACTGAGCCATCTCCCTAGCCCCCCAGCTTATATTTTATATCATGTGATTTTCATGCAACAAAGAAAAGGTTTTATGGCATAATTGTGGTACCAGGGATAGAACCTTAGCAGATTTGCATGATGGAATACTATACAGCTGTGTAAAAAGAATGAAGAGGCTCTCCACATATTAATATGGAAACAGCCATAGGCTTGCTGCCAAACTTTTTAAAAATCTCATTTGTTTAAGGAGCAAGGGACATTAGGTACATTCTTATTTCTTTATTTTCACGCTTTATGGGACACTGAACAAATAAACCTTTCAGCTTTGAAAGGTTCATGAAATGATGTGGACCAGGGCAAAGATGGGAGGGAGACTTTTTACAGTATATGTTTTATAATGTTTGCATTTTTGAATCCCATGAGTATACAGTGGTTCCTAGGTTCACAACTGTGTTTGTTTGTAATATGTTTCCCAAACAGAAGTGTTTGGCAAAATTTTGCTTTTATTTGTGAACTTTGCAACTAATCATGACCACGAAGGTGGCCATCTTTTCCAGAATTGTGAAATGAATTAAGCTTGTGAATGGAAGTATCACTGTATAATACTCCAGATTTGATGGGGCTATTGTAATCACACACTAATCTATTTACATTGTATGATCTAGGTTGCTATTGTAACTCATAGCTATTGAATTAGCTTATGTTATTATTCTACAGCATAACAAGGCATGGTTCTATTGGTTCATAGTGTCCTGAGGTGCCCTTGTTACTTGAGAAATTACATAATTTTAAAGTCTCAGTAGACCAATGATATGCTGTTTTCACATTCCCTAAAACACAGCTGTGACAAAGATCCTCAAACCACTGTCATTGAGAATGGCAGAAGCCAGCGGGGCCGGTTTTCCTTCGAGGTGTTCCGATTTGTGAAGCACAAAAATCAGAAGATGTCCACCGTTTTCCTGCACTGTGTGACCAAGCTCTGCAGAGCTGATGACTGCCCCTTCCTTATGCCAGTATGTTTTTTGTTTTAAAAAAAAACCCTTTATCCTAAATTGTTGAATTGATCTTAGTTCAAAAGCTATCAAAGGTCGGGAGCTAATTTCTATCTATGTCAAATGGTTTGAAATAGAATTTATTGCTTCATATAATAAAGATCTATTGAAAACCTACCTCTGGCAAGCATATGTAGGGACATAGAGATGAAATGTTCACGAATTATGAATTGTTAGCTTATATTTTGTATCATGTGATTTTCATGCAACAAAGACAAGGTTTCATGGCATATAGCAGACAAATGTGCACTGTGGTAGAAGGGCAGTACTCGCCGTCAAGAGAGAGATGGGGGGTAGAGCCAAGGGATTGATGGAAGACATGTGCCCCACCTGTGCCCTTCAAGATAGACATATCCCAGAGGGGCAAAGTCAGGCGAGCCAGAGACACTCCACACCAAAGGATGTTGGAAGTCTAGGCCACATAGCACAGAGTGAGCATCTTATAGGAGAATGGGACACCCTGGGAAGGGGCTAAACTGTGTTAGAGAGTAAGACTGCTGCCAGATGGCCCAGGACACTGTGGATTAAAAGTAAAAAGCTATAAAAGATGTGGATTTTTAACTATCATTAAATAACAGAGCCAGTTAGTAGTGAGCAAAAATAAATAATGAATAGTCAATATTACTATACAAACCTAGTTAGCAGTGAATAATAATTAAAAAAAAACCTTCCAACATTCTATTTTGACAGCCCCCTAGAGCTACATCAGTATTAGCAAGAAAAAATGTAAGCTTTTTTATTTGAAGTAGCTTTAATATATTTGTATTTATGCTCAGCTCATGCATAAAGAGAAAACTATCTCTTCACACTCGCTGATCTCTTTGGTCTTAACTAGCTCTACCAGAGGGAGGTAAATGGAGAGTCCACATTACTGTGGGTCTGTGCTGACCAATATTTTAGGGAAGAATTTATTAAAGGCTTGAGAGAAATAAAAGTAGAAAAATTTGATAAACACAGCTTTCTTTCTGGCGAGCCACTGAGCTCTGTAAATTAATGAAGCCGTGCACAATTACAGTGGGAGGAAATAAGAAATGTGGCCCACGCCAGGAGAAGAAACACTGTAGCAGTTATACGCTAAGTAATTAAATAAATGCACAGAAGGAAATGAATAAAACAGAACATGTGGTGTCTCTTCCAAAAGAATCTGCTTTCCAAATGGCCATAAAGAAGCAATTTTGTGCTAGTGTGGAATTTCATTTGTTTTCATTAACACCTCAGATTTGCGGCCACAGAGAGAGGAGAGCTGCAGAGAGCTGGACCACGTGGCGCCCCCAGAGCACTTCGGGCAACGCCGTGCTCTCCGCCGGTCCCATCATTACTAGGAGCGGTAAGAGCCTCTTGGCTTTATAGGTGGTAATAGACGTGCCAAAATGGCTCGTTACTGGCTTCTAAAGAGAGTTCAAAGTGCTTCCTAAACAGCACTAATTAACTGTGAGACAAGATACACTGCTATGCAACTTTAACTTCACAGTACTTTCTTGTTTGCTCAACTTTCACAGAAAGGACAGTATTGCCCTCCATACATTTTTCTTTTTACACGCACGCACGCACGCGGGGCTGCCGCGCGCTGCTCTTCCCTCCCAGCTCTGTTCGTTCTGCTGACTGCCTCCGCACCACCCAGCTTCTGGTGGGGTTTCGGGGTGGCACTGCCAGCGGAAGGGCGGCCCCGATTTGTGAAGCCCGTGCTCTGTGTGCCTGAGTTCTGAAGCTGCCCTCGCTGGGTTCTTCCCTTACTCCCCTGCCCAGGAAACTTGACTTTCTCTTGCGAATTTCCCACATCTCTGTAAACAGCCCTCATACATACTCCTGAAATTGGCCAGTTTTGCGTGCTGTTGCCTTCCAGCGCCCCACTGCGTACCCCAGCCAGTGCGCTCGCTTATGCAGCAAAGGGACACAACTATTTTTACCTACTCCTGCATACAAATGTGGGCATATCTCCTGCCCACACTTAACACCCCCCCCCCAATTCCACAAAGGGTCCTGACTTAAGCCAGTGTGAACCCAGAGATAGCTAGAGTTGCCTGTATCAAATAATATATATTTTGAAACTGAAACTGGAAAAAATGGTTCTAGGTCTAACTGTTGTTTTAACAAGGTGTGAGGCTTAGGATTTTACTTCACTTTTCTGGGCCAAAGATTCTTCATGTTTAAAATAAGGGGTTTTACAAAGTGTGCTTCAAGATGCTTTCTAATTTTGTGTTTCTCAATTTGTCTACAAAAACAATTCTGGTTTGGATTATACGCTAATAATATTTTCTCCATTTTATTCTCTCTTATGTACATTTCTGTTTTCTTTACTTTTTCATTTATGTTGTTTGTAGAAAGCAAGTTTTCCTAAAATAGGTGAATGAAGTTGTTGACAATTTCAGACATTGACAGTCTCATGGAAAACCCACTACTATTATGGACTACTGAACTATATTGGGATATTTGGCTGAATTCATGCACCTACAGTATTTAAGTGACAATGGAATGCCCTTCTCTGACAAAACTAATCAAAAAAGGGGGTACAAATGAATGACCATTTTGTATCTGTATACTCAATATAGTTAGGATAGGTATACAGGTCCAGTCTCTTAATTCAATGAATAGAGAGGTTTGTTCTAATAGTGTTTGAGACAGGATATCAGGTCTGCATCTTATACAGTGAATAACCACTAAAACAACAATATCTAATGTACTAATTATTGAAAATGTACTACTAATCAGTTGTGAAACTGTCTCATTGCTATTTGTTTCTCAATAAAAATATTAAAAAATAGGTAAATGATAAATAATAAGTAATTTTCCCTTAAAAAAACTAGACAATTGCTTTAATCATTTACTTCCTTATGTTTGCAGAGGTGCCATTATTTTAAAAGCAAATAATGGGCCCTTTAAGCAATGCAGAGATTTATTAAGTATGAAATTTAAAACTTAGTCCCCCATTCCTCTGATGGTTAGAAAATGGCTGGTTAGGGGTGTGTGGAAAGCACAGTTCTTAACTCTGTGGAACTGTAAGAAATTGCTTATTGAATTAGCTTGGACAGAGACTCAGTTCTTGCTGCCAGTAATTAGGAAAGCTTTTTGGTAGGCAAACTAAAAAATATTGTTTATTTCTCTGGAGCATGTCTAGACTTAGTTTTTTGTGAAACCTTGGAAGAGACATCTTTTCTATCCCTTTTGGGTAAATGGCTTTTCTTTCTTAATAACCTCCTTGCCTTCTTACCTGGGTCCAATCAAATTTAAACATTACAAATTTTAATAAGTACTTTTTTTTTTCTTAAAACAGACAAAACACAAGATTTACAAGTCCTGAAGAAGATTACCAAACAGAAATGTCTAATTGTACCACAGCTTATCAATTATCTAGATTTGTAGTTTTCACCCATCCCGTATCCAGTGGCCCAAAAGTATCTACGCTACAACAGAGCAAAGAACTAGCAAAATGCCTCTGATAGTGCACTCAGATTTCTTCCTTTCCAATTTCTGACCTGCACGAATCACTTACTTCATGGTGCCTGTGAGCCGTGTCTGAGTCACTTCGGGTTTCTGCACCAGTAGAGGCCCTCACAGACCGTGTTTGAGCCTTCTGGACTTCCTCGGGTCTCTCACTCTTTCTGGATGCATTATTTTGGTAAATAGCAGTAGGGTGGTTTTCTCTGTGAGGTGATCATGGTGGCCTCACTGCTTAGAGGTTCACATAGCACAATATTGACATTGTTAGCTGTAATGCACATACATTTACTTTAATTCCACCCAACCGTGTAACTCAGAACTCATGCCTACCCACAGACCTACCCACAGGCCAGTCCTACGTAAATGTCACGTGCAATTTAATGACCAGGGCTTCCTCTTTCTCTTGCATATGATATTGTGATAGTTTTTAGCTGAATTAGCTAGAATTTATCACTCCAGGTGGTAGGGTTGATTTTCTATAACAAGTCCAACCAGGCTTGAATTGCTGTCTTCAGAGCTCTCTGATACTTGAAAGTTTTTCTCTGTTTGCTCACCGAACCACTACTTTTCCCTACATATCTGACTTAGCTCAAGCTTAATAAGTTGTCAAACCTCCTGATTTGTCTTGGGTGTAATTTTGTTTATTTCTAACCAACTTCAATCATTTTATTAGTTGATTTAGGAAAATATTCACAGTTTTTAAACATGAAATCCTCAAAATTACTGAAATGTTCTTATTTATAGTGCCCAAATAGGGCCAGCCAAATAGCTCAGTGGATTAAAGTGCCTTCAAGCAGGCAGAAGGGCCAGGGGTTCCAATCCCCAGGCCCCCAGGGCGCTCTGAGATGGTGATTGAGACTGGGTGTGGTGGTGCATGCCTATAATCCCAGCTCTTCCAAGGCTGTACACAGGTGGATCACTAGGAGTCTGATCTAGTAATGAGACCCTGAACACCCTGTAGATCTTTCTCTTAAAATACAATAAATAAATAAATAAATGAACAAATAAAATTAAAATAAAAAAATAAACTGCCCTAATGTTAGCAGTGGTGGAAAAAAATGCATATAGGATATAATTCTGGCACTATACAGAAGCCCAAGCCAAATTCTTATCAACTGGTATCATTGAGTTTTTTGGGTAGTTAATAATTCCTATGAACATATTTATTTAGCCCCTGCTTGAGACAGGTATTTTGCTAAGAACTGGGCCACAAATTTTGCCTTTGGAGACCTTAGAGTTCAGAAGGAGACTATTAGCAAACATAAAGTAAAAAGTTTAGAGGTAAAATTTTATGGGTATTTAAAGATTTAAAGATTTTTTAAAAATTATTTTTTAGGGATAAGAAAGGAGATATATATTCTGCATGTGTCTTGGCACAGTTTCTAAACTTTCCATTTATTCTAACGTTTTACATGAGAAAGAAAGAGCAAAGGGTGACAGCAATATATGTGATCTTTCTGGCTTTGAAACACCTGTGGCTTTGCCAATTTTGCCTTCTTCTGTGGATCCTCAGGGAGCTATATATCCCTTGAAGTGCTCACTACATTTGGTATTCGAATCTATTCTAATTTCAGAAAACTGCATGTGCGTCTCTTGGTGTATATGTGGATGTCAAGAGCAAGTAGATTTAAGGGAAAACAGAATTGTGTGGTGACAAAAGTTTCCTGAAGGATGTCTACCTCTTCCTTTGGGCCAGACAATGTTTTTTATTACAATGACACAAGAATAGAGAACATCAGACACAGCCACCTGATAAAGTCATTCTATCCTTATTTACCTTCAAATATAATTCCAAACAGTATTCAACCATTTTATTGCTTGATTGTTCAGTTGTCAATGGAAGAAAGCTTCATTTCTCAGTTCTAGAAGCAGGAGGTGATGTGCTCAGGTGGCACACACAGGGAGGTTGCGCCCACAGCCAAGGGCTCAGGGTGACCTCTCACACAAGGCTATGTGAAGTTGATGATCATGCGGGCAGTGGAGGAAGTAGTCTGACATTATTAACCTCAAATGCAGAAAGTAGCAAGGTGTTTAGTCGGCCCTTGTGTCTTACTTGGAACACTTAGCAAGAAAAATCCTATTCCTCAGCATATTTATTTATTTATCTATTTATTTAGTTGATACAGGGTCTCACTGCACAGCTCAAACTCGTAGTGATCCTTCTGTCTCAGCCTCCCCAGCACTGGGATTACAGGTGTGCACCAACATGCCCAGTTTTGGTGGCCAACACAGTGTGCCTGAGGTTCTGGGGCCCACATGGCACATAACTAGGCCACTGTGCTATCTCCCCAGCTCTTCAGTACATTTACAAAGGCAACTTAAGTATGCTTTCTAAAAAAAGAAGAACTTTAAAAAGAGAAGTTGTGAGTATTACACATTATATTTCTGTGTTCCAGTGAGGCAGCTTGTCTTGCAGAAAGATATGTAGATCTTTGGATGATTTGATCACAGTCCATTTATCTCTTTTATTTCCATGGGAAGGAATTGTTTCTATAAAGCAGAGTTGGTTGGAAGTTAGGATTTTTTGAGAGTGTCCTACAACAAAAATCTCTGGCTATTTTTTCCTATTCTAATGCAATACATCATACTAATAAGTCAAATAATGAATGCTGTATTAATTTTGAACACTATACTTTAGGATCAGATAGGAAACACTGTCATTTTTGGCAAGATACATGCCTCTGAACAGCATCAGATGTTTTAGTAATGTCCCACTGGATTCTCCCATTAATTGTTTTAAAAAGTAGTCCCTGAATTCTTAGCTTGAGGTATTCATCTCCACGGCCAAAAATAATTTCCATCATTGGCCAGTTTACAGAATTTTAGAAGAAATCCTGAAATGTAGCTTAGATTTCAGCATGTTTACTTTGCCAGAAAGATTGTGACGGGGAGAAGTGTTTTCACCTGTAGAATGGGAGTAGCAGCAATGGATATCATGAGAAATATAATAACATAAAATAGTACTTTATAAGCCATGTAGCAGTACACACATTAATTACAGGAGTAATATTTATACTCCTGAAAGAAACACTGAACTGCATATGTTTTATGGCTCAAATAAGTAACACTCACAGGCATATACATGTGTCAACAGCAATATGAAATTCAACAGTTTATTAAGCTCAAAGGTTAGTAGTGACATGGTTTCAAACTGGACAACAAAAATTGGGAAAACAAGGGAATGTGTTTAATATTTGCCAAAGAAAAGTGGAAAATCAACAGCTTCAATCTTGGACTTAACAGATACAAATAAAATTACAACTCAATCCAGGAATTATTTCTTCTTTCATTTACTTTTTATGTGTGAGTTTATCTCATTGTAACTTACAACAGTGTTTTTGAAGGGTACATTGGACAAATCGGCAACACGTAAAACAGAGTGATACTGAATAATGAATGTTTCTCTGTAACAGAATCACAATGGGAGGTTGTAGGACCGTAAAGAAATGTAGTAGCTATTAACAGCTACTGTTCCTACTGACCTGACTGGCGAGGTAATGATGAAATTCAGTTGAAAGGAAAGACCGCAGCATCATATATTTTTGGGATTTTATTCAGACATTCAGAGAAGTGGCAGGGTATGGACCTGGAAACAGAGGATAAAGTGGGACAGAAAATTGGAGAAGCAGAATGGTTTGAGGAAGTTTTTCATTTATACCTCGCTTTGGAGCTTGTGGATGGAGAACAAGTGACACAGATACAAAGTTACTATGGACTCAGGAAACAAAGATAAATATTTGAAGAGATGTGTCATTTCTCTTTTCTTATTTTCACTCCTCAGATGAGACACCAACCAACAACTCACAACTTGGTAAGATAATCTCCATTTATTACAAACAAAAGTTCTATGCTTTAAAAGTGTTTAGTATTTTTATTAATGGAGTAGTACTCTGCTATGAAAAAGATAAATTCGAGGCTTTTATAGGTAAATGGATTCAACTAAAGACTGTACTGCTAAGTGAAATAAATCAGACCTGCATGTGCAAACATAGTATTGCCATACTAGTATGAGAACCTGAAAAAGTAAATAAAATCTGGAGGGTGTAATTTATCCTGTGGAAGGGAAAGAATCTGTTCAATAGGAAACAAAAAGTGGGATGAGAAAAGGACAAAACAAAGAAGAGAAAAAATATGTTCGTGGTTATATGCACGATAGTTGGGGTAATCGTACTGCTGATTTCTGCTGGTCTATTAAAAGGAGCAGTTAATATTTAAATTCTTTCTTTAAAAATTTCTTTTTTTCTTCTTTTCAATTTCTTCTAATTTCTTTAAAACCAATTTTGTAGGTTTATATCTGATAACCTGAACAACTAATGTGAAGACAATATGCAATGCAACAACCACTGTCAACTTCTATTATTTTGTTTAGTGAAATTTTGTATCATTTCTGTTTTTTTTCTTACCATTTTGTATTGTTTAAAAAAGAAAAAAGAAGTGTTTGGTGACCAGTTAGAAAATCATAATCAATTAAATGTAATGAATTCTAGTTTTGCAAGTCTTTTATATTTTAAAAGTAGTTCATTGATAATTTTTAAACTTGCAATCTGTTGGCTGAGGGGTATAGCGTCTTATAGCTTATTTCGCTATTTTTTAATTTTTTTATTCAGCCTTTGGTGTGTTTGTGATTGTTCACAGGTTCTCTGAGTGTGCCTGCATTCCAGATGAACACCATCACCAGTGCACTGATAGCGGGAATGGTTGTTCTGGGAGTCACGAGCTTTTCCCTGCTCCTTTGCTCGCTGGCCCTTCTCCACAGGAAGGGGCCCACCAGTCTGGTGTTGAGTGGCATAAGAAACCCAGCCTTTGAGTGATTATGCCAAGGTCTGTTCTTGAGGGAAGGCTGAAGTCATTATCCGTGTGTGACTGCGGTCCCTGTTCCACCAGAGCTGAGTGCCAGCTACTCGATATTTGTAGGTTTGATAGATTTCACAGCATAATCTCATCAGAATGATAGTGAAATATTTCTTGTACTGTTGGTATTGTTACTTATATGTGTGGCCAGCCCTGTTTTTATGACTTCAATGGGTATACTGACAATAAATAAAATATGTCCAGGACTTAAATCTCACAGGATCAGACATATTTAATTTCATTGTAGTTTTATGTAGCTCATTGGTTTACAAGGTAGAGAGTTGGCATAGAAGAAATATGGAATTTGTTTCATTCTTTTCCTAAGCCTTAAAGATCAATGCAATGGCTTTAGATTTGCATATGTGGTCTTATCATGAAATGTGATTCTTCTTCTATCATGTATAGTGCAGCCTAGGATAATATACTCAGTAGACCATCCAATTTGACATCTGAAAATTCGGTATTTGTTCTATGGCCTACTGTGTTTTGGGCTGATTTTTATGTCTGATACTGTACCCTAAAAACAAATAGGAAGTCAAACTCCTGGGAAATGTATGTCAACCTGAGACATCCATCACACAGAGAGTAAACAGGGAAAACAGTCGATATTTTCCAAAGGACATCAAGTGTCCTTAGGTCTTATTAATCTGGAATGACTGTAATGGATTTTCACTTTGATTCATGTTTAAGAGACAACAGTTTGGCATAGAACAACAGCATATGTTAAGGCCCCTTGTAGGGAAATAGTTCAGCTGCTACTGCAGCTGTGATTCCAGCAATGAAGCAGTTGTGACATGCCCCACCTCGTCCTTCTCCTCCTCCTTCTCTCCTTCCTCCTCTTCCTCCTTTAAATCTTGCTTCTCCTCTGGGGTTCAAGGGACTGAACCCATGATACCACTCATGCTAGACAAGTGCTTCGTATCTGAGTTACACCCCAACCCTGCAACAATTATATCACTGCATGAGAAAACACACTATACTGGTGGAACATATACATTATCCCTGCCCCTTAAGCTTGGTGTTCATATTAGGGTTTATTATAACCCTGGCTCCATTTTTTTCCTAGAACTAAACAGAGACTTAGATTAAATGTAATTTATAGAAGTTTGCTTGTGTCTACTTGAATGAGTGTTCTTTTTGGCCCCATTTTTGATGTCAGGCAAAACAGTCTAGAGATGCCTTCTTTGTAAGGTACTTTCTGGTAGGTGCCATAATTACCATGAGATAAATACAATTTTCTTATAGTGATAAACTCTAAGAGCATTTGATTCTTCATAGTTTTGCATATTTTTTAAAAAGTCACATATGAAGCAACCCATTTTTTAAAAAAATAATGAACCTTCTCTTTGTTCAAACTACCCATAGACCTGAACAAATTAAAACAATTCAATGACAAACACCCAAACTTGGCTTATATGGTCGCTAGAAGTGTTATATTAACTGTAAAATATTACTGTAATAACGAAGTTTTATTTAACATTTGTGCTCCACTATTCAGGACTTATTTTACTATGCTCCATGCAAATCATTGTGCAGTTTTAGATTTGCTTGAAATGGAGTGTCTACACTCAATCAATCATCAAGCTCCAAAACACATTTTCCCCCCAATTTGCCTGAATATTTCAGAATGAAATGTCTGTGTCATGATGGTTAGCTACACAATTGCCCCTGCTTTTCCAACTTGAGGAAGAGGCAGAAAGTGAAACAAGATCTGGAAAATCCCTGGGTAATTTCTTCAGTATCAACCCTATTTAAATCACTTTAAAAACCAACCTCTTCTTCCCCGTGTTACTTCAAAATATCTTTGAAGTGAAAATTCTGACCTTTGTCATTGCTAACCTGATGAACAGATCATGCTCCTAATGTGACCCTGTGTGTACGTGGGTAGTATTGAAAAATTCTGGTTAATCTGCTTCAGATAGCTTAAGTGAATTGCTATTGATCTGAAGATTAAGTATGTGAATAAGACATTATATCATTGTAGTTGGTTTGTCAGTTTGATTTTTATGCTTTTGGGATGGCTACTCTTTCAGCTTTTGACCTTTTAAATTCTATACTCCATTTTATAGAATGGAATAATGAACATATATTATTTTGGAAGCAACTTAAGTCTCCTATTGTTTTTTGCCACCATTTCTTCAGTTTTTGGAGTTACAGTGAAATAAACCAGATTTGTTTCATACAGCTTTGTTCTTACAAATCTGTTGTTATCTATAATGTCTAGTGATACTGAGTTTGTAGTGTGAAAACCTTACAAAATATGTGCAAATGTCCTTCAGTTTTAATACCTCAAACTGTTTTGTTGCACTTCAGGGGTAAGGTCTGATGACATGTAAAAGGTGATTGTTTAATAAAATAATAATAAATGACTAGCTGGAAAATATTGGCTGAATTTTTAAAAACACATGTTTCTCCTCAGCTGAAGCACCCAATGCTTCTTTTCATGCATATTGAAAAGTACTTAGCCTGAAATAAACTTTCTCATGTGACAAGAGGGTTGCTGATTCATGCAGGGTGATGGCAGTGTGCCCTCTCAGTACTACGTGAGGTTTTTGGTTCCAGCCTTGAGGTAAACATATGGCCTTGTAATCGACTGCCTGCCCTCTACCTTGGGCTTCAGGTCTGACTAAAGTGGAATTTAAGATTTAAAACTGTGGTGGATGTTGGAAAAACTGGAGAGACAAGGAACTCTGTTTCTGTCCAGACTTTTGGTCTCTCACAATAATCTCAGACAGATCCTGTTGTCTTCCTTTGTCTTGGAGATAGGGGTGAGTGGAAGACACAGGGTTGAAGACAACTCTTTCTCCTGATTCATGCAGAATACACCTGAGCTGAAGCAGACCCTACTTTAAGTCCCTGGGTATCTGCAGTGAGCTTTGGGAGTTCACAAGACTTGAGAATTCTTTTTTTTTCTTTTTATTCATTTTTTGTCTCTTCTTTTCATTTATTACTCCGCCTTTTTTCCATAATTTTGTTGAGAAACAAATAACAATGAGACAATTTCAAACCAAATTGGTAGGAAAGTTTCGTTAATTAGCACATTGCATACATTCTTCCTAGTGGTTATTTGCTGTACAAGATGCAGACATGATATCCACCATTAGAACAAATCCCTCTATTCATTAAGAGAATGTAATTATATATCTATCCTAACCATTTTGAATACACAGATACAAAATGGACATTCATCTCTCTCCCCTTTTTTGTTTAGTTCTTTTATTTGAATATTATAGGTGTGTTGACTCAGCAAAGTATACTAAAAGAGTCCAGTAGTCCATAATAGTATTGAGTCTTCTGTTTTACTGGTAATGTCAGAAATTGTTGACCTGAGTCCCCTATAGCTCAACATAACAGCATGGCTTTACTTCTTATACTTCATTTTTATACTTTTCTGCTGGATGGTTAAGACCAAGATAAAACAAGACCTATGCAACAAGAGTTGTAGCTTTTGGGTCTGATAAGGTCAGTGAAATCCTCTCAGGATTTTTCTTGAGATCTTGTACCTCAGATTGTAGATCCTTTGTCAGGGCTAGCAATGTGGATGAGTCATGGACATTGCTCGGCCAATGTGCTTTCTGTGAAAGCCTGAGAGAATGTTTTCTCTCCATGTGACTCTCCTTAGGCACACTCTACAACATCGATTACTTTCCTCTTTGGCTCCATAATCTCCTTGATCAGAAAATTTGGGACACTACTGAGTTACATGATGTTACAGTACAAGTTCTCATATGTCCCGAGTCTTAATTGACCTTGGAAGGCTAGGGCCAAAATGTTGGCTTTCCTTGCGGCCCTCCTTTTTCTCTAATTTTGGTCTGTAAACTTAGAAATTATTTCTAAAATTTATCTGGAACCAGAAAAGACCTAGAATAGCAAAGGCAACCCTGGGCAATAAAGACAAGGCAGGAGGCATTACAATTCCTGACTTGAAATTATACTACAAGGCTACTGTGATAAAATCAGCATGGTACTGGAATCAAAATAGACCTGATGATCAATGGAATAGATTAGAAGACACTGAAGCCCCTACGAACACACTCAGCCACCTTATCTTTGACAAAGGGGCCAAACATACTCACTGGAAGAAAGATAACCTCTTTAACAAATGGTGTTGGAAAAACTGACTCTTTACATGCTGAAAACTAAAACTTGACCCAGGTCTATCACCATGCACTAAGCTAAAGTCAAAATGACTTAAAGATCTAAACATTAAAACAGAGACACTAAATCTTCTGGAAGAGAAAGTAGGAGGAACTCTTGAAGACATAGATGTAGGCAAAGAGTTCATGAACAACAATAAAAAGAAAGGCATGGGAATTCTTGAGGGACATTGTCAGCTATAGAATGTGCAAGGGCACTTTATGTAGCTGCTACACAAAGTGAACTTGCACAGTGAGAGTAAAACAAGAGAATCAGGGGGCCAGGGAGATGGCTCAGTAGAATAAGTGCTTCCCTGGCAAGTGCATGCGCCTAAGTTCAATCCCCAGTTCCACCAAAAAAAACAAAAAAACAAAAACAAAACAAAACAAAACAAGAAAATCATATGTGTGAGGTAATTTAGGGAAGGCAGCAGGAAAGATTCAAGTGGAGTGGAGCCCTGAACACATTCGCCTTCTCTCCATACTAATAAGAAAAAGAGTAAGCTAACCATAGAGCAGTGGCTTTCAAGAAAATGATAATTCAATTTTACAAGTTGAGTTGCCTTTGAAATAAAACAATATACTCTTGTAATTCAGGGGATAAATTTTTAAAATATTTGAACATTAAAAACTGATATCCAAGTAATAATGTGCATTACTCAAGGTTCTTCAGGAAAAAAATCAACAGGGTAAGTGTGTATATTTACGCATATACAAATATATTTTATGCATCATAATTATATAAACATAACAAACATGCATAAATATACATTTAATATATGTAATCATTATATAATGTAATCTCTATATCTATCTATCTATCT